CATGATTGCATGATAAAATAACAAATTTCCGATGCATAAATAAAACTCCGCTGAGGCTATCAGGAGGAGATACTTGTCACCTGATCAAGTGTCAGTGTCTCCTCATTCCCTCATTCCCGCTGACGCCTTCCTTACCTTCGTGGACCCTGCCTTGGCTGCAGTTGGACTCCAGCATCAGATGGTTTCACTTACCTGTGAAATATAGAGAAACAGAACAAAAGGTAAAGAAAAAGGCAACCCTAGCAGGCTGACCAAGAGCTGAGGCATTCAGGAGGGAGGGGGAGGGAGGGGGGTGAACAGAGGGGAGGGAAGAGCACAAGGTGATGGGTCATGGGTGCTAGGGTGGTGGGAGAACTATGGGGACCACCCCTGAGGGGAGAAACCAATAACTAGACAAAAATGAACTACTATGTAAGCAAAGATGAAAAGGGCCTCCTGGTGGTGCAGGCAGTTGAGCGCAGTGCTGTGAAGCTGTCCGCAGCCTCTGCAGTGGCGGTTCGATCCCCGCCAGCCGCAGATGCCCACATGGCGCGGCAGATCTCTCCTGTCTCCCCTGCTGCTCCCCTCAGCAGTGTATTTCAGTCAATCTGCCTGTTCTGCTCCCTGCTCTGTCTGGTGAGTCCTCTCACTCTCCCACATATCTGGCCTGTACCCTAGTTCTTGTATAAATAAATAAATCTTTAAAAAAAAAAAAAAAGAAGAAAAAAGAGAGATGCTCTTTAAGGACAGGGAAGACCCTAAGACAATATAAATAAATGAATGCTCCTAAAGGGGGTCTCATCCTGAATAATGCTGCAGGCACTGCCGAGGCATCCCCTCCTCACCAATTGTTCTAGATCTCCAGGAATTTTCTCTGGTAGGAGCAGCAATTAAGCCTGCTTTGTGGAAATAATTGGAAAAAGGCTGTTTTCAACTGCAGTCTCTTGCAAGCAGCAATCACGTTTGGGATGAGAGCCATTCTAAAACTATGAAGTCATTCACGTTCAATATTAATGACAGCATCTTCACGCAGTGGAATGAAACTTGAAAGTTTTGTTCTATCTTGTTTTAAGCTGAAGCTCCTTCCTTATGGAGGAGGACGCCCAGCACCCAAGGACCTGTTCCGAGGATGGGTGGGGGTGCCCAGATTCCTTCCCTCCCCCTGGCCTCCAAGAGGGTTACAATTTACCCTCATTTTATTTATTTTTTTAAAGATTTATTTACTTATTTATCCAAGCACTGGGTACAGTCAGAAGCGCGGGAGGGCGAGAGAATTCACCAGAGCCAGACCGGGGAGCAGAGCAGGCAGAAGGACCAAAGTACACTGCTGAGGGGAGCAGCGCGTGGCAAGGTCTGCGCACCATGTGGGACCCTCGCCCTGAGGCCAGGGATAGAACTGGCGCTGCAGAGGCTGCGGGTAGCTTCGCCACCCAGCGCTCAACCGCTGCGCCACTGGGGAGGCCCTACCCTCATTTTAAAACCTCCAGTTCAGTACAAAACACAGATTTGGGAATCCAAATATATCTGGCCTTTGATCTCAGAGAAGTTACTGATCCATTTTGGACCTCAGGGTCCACGACTACAGGGTAGGAATAATATCTCTATGGCATCATTAATGGAGATCACATAACTAAAGCAACGAACTTGTTGCTCCAGCAGGTGCTCAGTAAATGCTGATTCCTTTCTCCTATCCAGAGAAATTCAACTTCTCTCCAAAACAAGCATAACAGAGGGATTGGCAAGGAAGGAGGTAACATCATTTTAACACAGTAAAAGGTAAAGTGCAGCCTCCCCCCTGCCCAGTGGCCTAGGGGTTAAATCTCAGTGCTGTCACCACAATGGTCTGAGTTCAAGCCTGGCTGGGGAGCTACCCACATGGTGCAGCAGACCTCTCCTGTCTCGCCTGATGCTCCCTTCAGCAGTGTATCTCAGTAGATCCGCCTGTTCTACTCCCTACTCTGTCTCTGGTGAATCCTCTCACCCTCCCACACCCCTGGCCTGCACCCCAGTTCTTCTATGAAAAAATAAACAAAAACTTTTTTTGAAAAAAGATAAAATGGAGTATCTCCAAAATGTCCAGTTCCCACATGAGTCACTGTGGTTTACACAATCCCTGAAATAGGAGGAATCCTCTTAGCACCATCTATAGAGAAAAGATCTCAAGAGCTTAGAAAAGGGCCCTTCAGTGTCTCACATACTCCCCGTGAAGAAACTTTCCACCCTGATTGGTGACGGTGCCCAGCTGTCACTGCTGTGGGGTTTCTCGGATGCAGAGAGGGCCACTGCTTTCAATACACTGAATTGGTTAATAATAACCCACATCAGAAAACCAAAGACTTGTAGCCAGAGTGTGGCAGGCCGTGTGGCTCCTGGTCACTCAAGGCTCAGGAAAGCCTGGATTCTATTCAAGGGTTATTGTAAAGTCACCTCATGAGGCAGTTTCCAGGGTCAAAGCCCCCTTCAAGGCTCTGAATGGCCACATCACCTGCACGACAGGTAGTGATGCCTTGGCCCCCAGGCGTGGGCCCGGGCCCAGCACAGGTGGCATCTCAGACCCCATGAGAAATGCACAGCTCCAGGCGCCATGCAACCCACTGGGTCAGAACCTGCACCCCGGGAGACTAGCACTCGACTCTGCCCTCCTGCCTGCTGGACCTGGCGTAGGGGGGGGTGTCAGGCCCCCGAAAAGTTTACAATACATTCCCCAAATTATATCCTAAGTCCACAGAAATAAAATAAGTCCACACGCTGTTCAATGGAACAGCGTGGAGAGCCCAGAAAACCCACCCGGGGGTTGATCAGTGCAGCAAAGAGCAGCTGGCAGCAAACACGGGGGATGCGCCTTCATTCAGGGGCGCTGGGCACCCACAGGGTCACACTCGGGAATGTCCTGATCCCCATGTTCCTCCAGGACCCAAAGTGACCCACGCAGAACTCCCCACAGCCAGCCCGCCCCGCCCTGGGCCCCTGACGCGCCGCTCTGCATCAGCCACCGGCAGGGAGACGTCCTCACCTCCCTCGCTCTGGGGCCACTCCTGAAGAAACCGTGTTCCCACAGGCAAGGACTTCACCCCAAGTCCCGGGAAGTGAGTGCCACGGCGAGCCAGGCTGCTGGGGAGGTGGGAGCCGGGCACAGGGGCGGGGCTGCAGGTGCTGGTGTAGGGGGCGCTCCAGGACCGGGGTCGGGCTGACCCTGACCCTGAACCTAACCCTACCCTTGACCCTGACCCTGACCCGACCCTGACCTGGATCCTGACCCTAACCCGACCCTTAACCTCTAACCCCTACCCTAACCCCTAACCCAAACCCTAACCCCTAACCCTGACCTTGACCCTAAACCCTAAACTCTGACCCTGACCCCTAACCCTGACCCTAAACCCTGACCCTAACCCTAACCCTAACCCTAACCCTAACCCTAACCCTAACCCTAACCCTAACCCTAACCCTAACCCTAACCCTAACCCTAACCCTAACCCTAACCCTAACCCTAACCCTAACCCTAACTGAACCCTGACTTATTCTTAAATGGCTCCAGTTGTAGCTCTCATGGGTCCGGGAATTGTCTGGAAACTGGTGAATTGACAGGAATGCAAAAAAAAAAAAAAAAAGCTCACTTTGTAGCTTGCACCAAAACTCAAATTGTCCGCAGGGAATTTAAATGCAACGTCATAAGATGTGATACTCGATGTGCACATTCTTGAATTCACTATGATGAGTAACACATGACGCCAAATGTCGAGCCATAAAAGAAAACGTTATGGCCCTCCTGGTGCGCAGGGGTTGAGCCCCGAGCGTGATTCTGTCCACAGCCTTGGCCAGGGAGTGACCACAGGGCACAGCAGACCTCTCCTGACTCGCCCGCTGCTCCCCTCAGCAGTGGATTCCAGTGGGTCCGCCTGTTCTGCTCCCCACTCTGTCTCTGGGGAGTCCTCACTCCCGCGCCTCTGGCCTGCGCCCCAGTTCTTGTGTGCATAAATAAATTTTTAAAAAGAGAAAACATTATAGCAATGCTTTATAACTTAAAAGTATCTATTCTGCAAGACCGTCCAGAAAAGCAAAGGTAAGTCACAAGCGTCTCCACGGTGTCTACGGCGCTTTCCCTGAGGGCCGCCCTTTAACTGCTTCTCTCAATTTTTTTTTACTTTCACATTTAGGGTGATGGCGAGTTATAGGGTGTTACTGTGTCTTCCTGGGAACCTGCCATGTACAAGGGACTGGGGTCTGTGATAAACAGGGCCAGGTGGAGGCGAGTGAGGGACAGGGTGACACAGGCCGTGGAGACAAGCCCATGTGAAGCTGCCAGGGTGGGGTGCATGTCAGTGCCCAGTGAGGACTCCCCAGTGCAGCGCTGGGTGGGGCTGAGCCCTGTCCTCAGGGGACCCTGTGGGTGAGCAGCCAGGCCCTAGGATGCGATCAGCCACCAGGTGGCAGCAGGGGACAAGAGACCGGCAGGGCCATGGGGAGGGAGTCCAGCAGCAGTTACCACAGAAACCCTGCCATGCCCAGGGGTGGCCCAGCTCTTGGCTCCTCAGGTCCACGTTCCATCCCCTGGGCCGCGGCTGCCCATCGCAGGCCTAGCCCATCTCCCACCACCCAGATCCGCAGACCCCAGGAAGCCCCTGCCTGCTGCCCTGCTCCTGCCCCAGCAGTAGCTGCTGGGACCAGCCCCAGTGCTCAGAGCCCAGGGCAGACCCACGGGCACTGGGGGGTGGGGGTGAGCCTGCCCAGCAGCCACAGCCCAGCAGCTTGGCCGGGGCCTTGGAGCTCATCCCCGGTCCAGCCATCCATGCCCCAGGTGTGTCCACCCTACGCTGCCTGCCAGCTGGCCCTCCCACAGCACCCAAGCCTGCGTCCAGTTGGCACCCACCTGGCAGGCCAGGGGTGAGGACACACCCTCAGCTGCTCCACCTGCGCGCTCACCTGCCAGGTCCTGATGGGCAGGTCAGACCTGCCCTGGGGCCAGGTGAGGCCCCAGGGGTATAAAGCAGGCTGAGGCGGCTCCGAGTCCCATTGCTGCGGCCATGAAGGGGACCAGCACCCTCCTCCTGGCGACGCTCGCCCTACTCTGCGCCTGCGGTGAGTCTGAGCACCGACGGGTTTCCAGCACTCTCAGGGCGGGGTGGGGGGGGCAAGGCCCCGAGCCCCTGGCAGTGAGCAGAGCCTGCTCCATCTGCCACCCCTAAGGCCCTGCTGACCCCAGCCCCAGGCGGCCACCCTGGCCAGCAGCCAAGACCAGCAGAGCCCAGCCCCAGCCCAGCCCCAGCCCAGGCAGCCGGGCCCACCCTTGATGCCCAGGTCAGCCCGGCTGCACGGCAGCCGGAAGCCCCCACCACGCCAGGGGCTTGCCATCCCCAGCCCCCCGCGATCTCGGGGAGCCAGAGTGGACAGAGACAGACGAGGGTGGGGTGACGGGAGGGCCGGGGCAGGCAGCTGCAGGGTGCTCTGGAGGAAGACCTGGGCAGGGTGGAGGGTGGCAAAAGGGCCACCAGGCAGGCTGGGCAGTCTGGAGGCCAGTGGCTGGGGCTGGGGGGGCCTAGGGCCGGCTGGGACGGGCCCGCCCTGGGTCATCTTGTCCACCGTGCAGGGCTGGCCACAGGACAGGACACCAATGACTTTTTCATGGACTTCCTGCAAACGCTGCTGGTGGGGACCTCAGAGGAGCTCTACGAGGGGCCCCTGGGCAAGTTTGACATCAACGACGAAGCCAGGGCTGCGCTGACCGAGCTCAAGTCCTGCATCGACGGCCTGCAGCCCATGCACAAGGCAGAGCTGGTCAAGCTGCTGGTAGGGCGGCTGGGGGGCCCTGCTCCCTTCAAGACCTCGGCCCTAGCAGGACATAAGCCCTACTGCCCAGGCCTCTACCGAACAACCAGGGCAGCACCCCCCAGTTACCCCGCAGCCGCCCAGTCACCCAGAGTCACCCGCAGCAGCCTACAGCCACCCAGTGGCCCACAGCGGCCCCAGTCAGCCTACAGCCACCCCAGTCACCCACAGCTACCCAGTCCCCCACAGTGACCCAGTCACCCGCAGCCGCCCCACAGCTGCCCACAGTCACCCGCAGCCACCCGTCGCCCAGCCTGCCAAGCCAGCAAAGGCAGCCTGGCAGGGTCCCGGGCAGCTGTCTGCCTGCAGCTGGGCCTTCTTGCTGCCCCGGGCACGGCGCCCCAGCTGCTGGCCCACACACGTCCACTTTCCAGGTGCAAGTGCTGGGCACCCTGGATAGCTCCTAGCGCCCTGGGCGCCGCCGCCAGCCAGCACAGCACAGCCAGGACGGCCGACCGCCGCGGTTGCTCCCCAGACTGTTGGATCAATAAAGCCTCCTGCAGCTCAGGCTCAGCTCCTGTCTCCCGCACGCGCCCCCACCCCGCAGGGGCCCCGCAGAGCCCCTCCCCACGGCTGGCGCGGCGATGTGGCAGGGCAGGGCCCAGGGTGGCCAGAGGCCAGGTCCGCGGGGTGGCACGAGGGTGGCCGGCTCAGGGACGGTGGGACGGACAGGAGGGACGGCTGCCATGGCACTGAGGGTGCTCAGGTAGGGGAGCCTGCTCACCTGCAGGTCAAGGCCAGGAGAAGGGCAGCGCTGGGCGCCCGGGCCTGGGGGTGGGGGCTGCGGGGAGAGCAGCCTGAGAAAGGCCGGGCTGGCAGCTCCCCATGTCCCGCCAGACCTCCGCCTGAACCCAGAACCCAGCCAGCCAAGCCGGCCTGCACCTCAGTTTCCCCAGCGCGCCGGTCTCCACTGGGCAGGGCTGAGGTCAGCTCCGCCCACCCCACTCTCGCATGGCACCCCCCAGAGCAGCCCCTCAGCCTCCCACCCCGCTCCTCTGCCACCCTGTGGGAAGCCAAGCAGGTGCATCTCAGGTGGGAAGCCAAGCAGGTGCGGGGGTGGGGCCCAGGCAGAGCCCATTGTCCGTCTCACAGATCTAGAAGCCTCCTCCACACCTGGCATTCTAGAGCTGGGGCGCCCCTCCCAATTCCAGAATCCCCCAGGGAAAAGGACAGGGAGCGAGGGAGGAAGAGAGAGGGAGGAAGGGGGGGGAGAGAGAGAGAGGGGGGTAGAGAGAGAGAGAGGGAGGGAGGGAGGCAGGAGGGGAGGCCCTCTCCTCTCCCCTGTTCCAGACCCCCTAGCACCAAGGCCGGGGGCGCCTCTGAGGAGCTTGGTCCGCAGGGTGCTCTGGGGGCTGCAGCTGGACCCGAGAGGTGAGGCCCCTCCACGCAGCCCCTCCCTGCACCCCCAGCACAGCCTCAGCCAAGGAAGGGCCCCACCGGCCACTGCCCCCATCCTCTGAGCCCCTAGAGCCGAAGGCGTGGTCAGCGAGGGCGGAAGGGACAGATGTGCCAGGCGGGCCTCACGCCACCAGGGCAGGGGCCAGGGCAGAGCGGAGCCAGGCAGGAGCCCTCTGCCCCTAGACCCCCAGCGCCAGACCCCACTGTGGAGGGTGTGGCTGCAGTGCTGCCTGCCGGGGGCAAAGGCAAGGATGGGCTGGGGGGCTGGGCCCCGGCACCCGGTCACCTGCCCACCTGTGCACGTACCAGCCATGGCGGAGGATGTGTGGGTGGGCACCTGGAGGCCGCACCGCCCCAGGGGGCCCATCATGGCCCTCTACAGCAGCCCGGGGCCCAAGTACCTGATCCCGCCCTCCACGGGTAAGTGCCCGAGGCCGGGCGGGGCTCTGGGGCCTGGGCTGGCCTGTTGAACTTGGGGTGGGCGGGAGGGTGTGGAGACCCTGAGGGGCCCCAACTCCCAGCCGCGGGCCCTGGGCGGTGGGATGGGGTGCTCCAGGCCGCTCAGAGGCCCTGCCCCACAGGTTTTGTGAAGCACACGCCCACCAAGTGGCGGGCGCCAGCCTACAGCTTCCGGGGGGCCCCCATGCTGCTGGCAGAGAACTGCTCCCCGGGGCCCCGCTACAGCGTGAACCCCAAGATCCTGAGGACTGGCAATGACCTCGGCCCCGCCTACTCCATCCTGGGGCGCTACCACACCAAGACCCTGCTGACCCCTGGCCCCGGTGAGCAACTGGTGGGCCTCCGCGCTGCCCAGCCCCGCCGGCGCCACCGCACACCCCCCGGGGGTCCGGGCCCCCTCCCCCACGCAGGGGTCCCCAGTCGTCCCAGCTCAGCCTTGAGACCCTCGGCCTGGGTCAGCCCCGGGTCCATCCCCGCCAGCGGCCTGGGGCCAGGCCATGTCAGGCCCTTCCTTCCGTCTGGAGAGTAGCTGCGGCCCCACCCCCGTGTTTCCACACGGGTGTCCTCGGACCAGTCTCGGCCGCCATTCCTGGGGGCCTGAGGCGCCCCGCTCTCTCATCCCAGGGGACTACTTTCCGGAGAGATCGGCCAAGCACGTGCTCGACGCAGCGCCCAGCCACTCCATTTCCGCCCGGACCAAGACCTTCCGTGTGGACAGCACCCCAGGTCCACAGCGACGCTGGCGGGCCCCCCGCCAATGGTTGGGGTCCCAGCTGGGGCGGGAGAGGTGGGCAGCGAGACGCCTGGCCTCCCAGACGGGAAGGCCCCGAGGGAGGAGCGGGGGAGGGGGGGTGCCGCCCAGCATGAGACTCAGTGCCCACGCGCCCACAGGCCCCGCCGCCTACATGCTGCCCGTGGTGATGGGGCCCCGCGCGGTGGGGAAGGCCTCCCAGCCCTCCTTCTCCATCAAGGGCCGCAGCAAGCTGGGCAGCTTCAGCGATGACCTGCACAAGGCAAGGGCCACTGAGCCAGAGACGGCACCCCAGCCTGGGACCGCCAGCTTTACCCCCCTCCCCAGAGGCCACTCCTCACCGTGGGGCAGCCTTCGGGCGCCCAGCCCCCACCGGGCTACTGTCCTGTGGGGGGCAGGCAGTGGACAGGACAAGGAGGCCCCGGCCTGGGCGGGTGAGGGCCCGGGCGGGGCCGGGAGCCGGAGCAGAGCAGGGCAGGTGTGGGCGGGAGAAGACAGCGCAGCCACGACGGGAGACACGACGGGAGACGCGGGCTCTGCTGGGAACTGCCCTGTGAAGGTCCAGAGGCAGCCGTGTGCCCAGGGCCCGGAGAGTGGGGAGGCTGGCAAGCCAGGGCCACAGCCCCCCTCCTTGCCAGAGCAGCCAGCCCACAGGCCGGACACCCACCGGGCTGACCTCCCTACCTCTGGAGGAGTGAGCAGGGCCATGGAAGAGCAAGGGCGGAGTGGCCCCCAGCCCCGTGCAGCCCCCAGGCCCTGGTGCAGGACCAGGCCCAGGCCCGCCTCGGACCCAGCAGGCCCCATCTGAGCCCCTCTCATGCCGCAGACGCCGGGCCCCGCGGCCTACCGCCAGACCGACGTGCAGGTGACCAAGCACAAGGCGCCACAGTACACCATGGCCGCCCGGGTGGAGCCCCCGGAGACAAGACCCTCAAGCCAGGGCCGGGCGCCCACAGCCCCGAGAAGGTCTGGAGGATCATGGGGCGGGGGGGAAGCAGCAGAGGACGGGTCGGCCCAGGGGGGGCACAGCCGGGAGCGCAACCCCAGGGCTGGGGAGGTCTGGGAGGGGACGGCAGAGGGGGCACAGCCTGGCGGGGTGGGAAGGGTCTGAGCCCAGAGGCCGCACTGGCCAGATGCCTGACCTAACCGGGAGCAGCAGGCGGCTCCTCAGAGCCTCTCCTTCCCAGGTAACTGTCACCAAGCCCTGGGCCCCCGTCGTCACCTTCGGCATCAAGCACTCCGACTACATGGCACCCCTGGTTGTGGATGTGGAGTAGGTCCCGCTGGTCCTCCGCACGTCCCCGGGGCCTTCCCGGCCAGCAGGAGGCCCCGCTGGCCTGGCTGCAGGGCAGGGCACCTGCTGGGACACCGGGAGCAATTATTTTTTTCTACAAGGTTTTCCCACTTGCTAAGCTTCTTCCCTTCTGTGCCGACAGTCAATAAACCATGGACTCCATTGGTCTGGGGTGGGGGCCGAGCTTTTCCAGAAAGGGCGGCTGTGGGATTCCTGCTCCCCTGCCGGGCCCTGCCCTCTGCGTCCTGCGGACTCCAGGTCACTCCTGCCCCAGCGCTCCCTGGGGCCTGTGACCACACCAGGGCCACAACACAGCAAGCGGACGTGCCCCTCACCCCTATGTGAGGGCCCCACAGGAGGCGGGCGCGGCTGCCCACCAGGCCCACGGCCTGAGTGCACCCACAGGTCATCACAGCTGCCGTGAGGGTACTGGTCACATGTCAGGGGAAGCCCGGCAAACACCAGACACCATGGGCACCTGCACTGGCCTCAAGACGGGGTTACCCAAAAGCTGCGCTGGGCTCCACAGCAGGCCGAGCAGGGACTGAGCCTCAGCTCAGCCTTGGTGAGCGCTGGCCACAGGCAGGGCAGGCCAGGCCAGCAGCCACGGGGGTGGGTTATCAACACCCATTACCCACTGAGCCCCGAGACCACGTCACTCTCATGTCCGTCTGCATCCCAGACACGCGGCACGGGCAGGCAGGGGGCAGGCTGTGACCATGGCCGCCCGCACCCCGGCCGGCGGGGCCCCAGGGCCTAGGCCACCTCAGACAGGCTCTCCCGGCCCCAAGGGAACCAACACACCGCAGACCGTGTTTCTTTCATCCTTTCATCATGAGATTGTTTATTCCAAAGGCTTAAGTGTCTCACCCTCGGCCCTGGGGGTGATGCCTGGCAATCAGTCCCACTAGGCACGGGGCAGGCCCGGGGGCATCAAAGCATGCAAGGCAAGCTGGGTGCGGGCCCCACAGCACTGCTCAGCATGGAGGCGCAGGTGTTCTGCCCGTGCCTGAGGATGGGCTGAAGCCGGGTGGGCTGCATGAGCGGTGGAGGCGGGAGCAGAGGACACTCGGGTTGTGGCAACCCAAGCATTGCAGGGTGTGGGTGGCAAGCTGGGTTTCTGGGAAATGCTGGCCAACAGGCCTCAGCGGGCGAAGGAGCACGGGAAATGGGGTGGCTGCGCCCCCGCAGGGGCCGGGCCCACGGAGGTCCCCATGCGAAGTACTTCGCGCTGGAGCCTGTGTGTGAGCCCAGGGGAGAGGTGGGAGAAGGCACCGCCCATGGGGTGCGGGTGGTTGGCCCTCAGTGAGGAAGGGGCGTGCACGGAGGCAGATGACAGTCGCAAAAGCAGAGTTGAGGCCTCACTTCCACGGGAGTTTCAGGCAATGGGAGCGGACCACGGAGGGAGCCTCTGGTGGGCCCAGATGAGCTACCCGGCCCACGGTGCATGGGAGCAGCTGGGCGGGCCAAGGGCCAGGGAGGGGTGAGTGGGGACAGGCTCAGGACCCCCATGGGGTGGCTTGCTGTGGGAGGAGGGGCGAGGCCTGGTGGGGGTAAAGGCCCTTGCAGGAAAGCCCCACCTGCACGACAGCCCCCACCCCACTGACCGTGAAGTGGGTGGGCTTGTCCCTGCTGATCTGGCCCCCATCCGCCCTCCCCGGGGCATAGCTGCTTCCTGGGAAAACCCAAGTCTGTTCCTGGGTACGAGGCCACACGACCCAGAGGACAGGGCGAGGCCGCAGGCCACTCACCACATCCCTCGTCTCAGCCACAGGACAGAGGACACAGATCTCGGGGCCTTCAGGGGGCACCCAAGGGCTCTGGGTCAAAGGAATCGGCACTGCTTTGAACTTCAGAGCCACATCTGCATCCTGTGTCCACACCAGTCACCTCGGATACCGAAAGTGGCCTTTCCTAGACAAGGATGGCAGAGCCGCAAGGACCAGGAGAAGGACTGGCGGTCACACGCAGGCGGCCACGTCCAGGGCCCCCAGCTGCTCCACTCAGATCTGGCCCCGCTGATGCCTCTGCACCCAGCATGGCAGAAGGGGGCGGACCTGGCTTCCGGCCCAGCCAGCATGAGTGCACTGGGTCAGAGGCAGCCGAGGGCTCCCAGCCACGCAGGAAGAAGGCTCCTGAGCCACGACTGGTGTTTCAAAGGAGTATTTCGTAGCAGGTCCTTGGAACCCAACACACCAGGGAGGGGAGGGGCCCTCCGGAGCCCAGTCCCTGTGGCTCACGTCCGTGTCCTGGACACGAGATAGGAGAGGATGAAGAAGGCCACGATCAGGCCCACGGCCATACCACAAAGGAGTCTTCGGTTGTCACGTCCAGACCGTGCCATTGAAGAAAAGCGCTTTACGCTCCCGGTGAGCAGGCCCGTCACACTCGAGAAGTCCGAGTCCTGAGGGGACCAGCGGGGTCACATGGGGGCAGTCCCTCCAGGGTCCACGCGCTGACAGGGGGCGGGGGCAGAGCTGGCCCTTACCATGCCGTCCAGGTACCGGTTCTGGTCCTCTGCGTCTCTGTCGATGTCCAGGGCCAGCTGGTAGGGACAGAGAACTTGGGGTCAGGAACCCTGGGCAGCACAGCACCCCCACCTGGCGGCATCAGGGGCCCAGCCACCACCTGGCTCCATGCAGGCGAGCACGGCCGTGGGGACAGGGATAAGAACCACGCAGAGCCCTCCAGGCCTCTCCCCTCCCTCTGACCCCCACGCTGGGGAGCAAAGAAGCGGTGAGTGGACCCCACTGACCGACTTGAGCCTGGTGACCTTGGAGGCCAGGCTGTCGGCCATGCGCTTGTTCTCCCGGTCGAGGATCTCCTCAACAGCGCCAGGGCTCTGAGCTGCAAGAGGAGAGAAAGGCTGGGGGTGGAGCGGGGTACATCCCCAGGGACCACACACCAGGAGCCCCCCCTTTCTGGCTTCGGGATTGTCAGTCCAGCCCCACCTGGCCAAGGTGGCCCTCTAGGGGCCGGGCCCACGGAGGTCCCAGTGCGAAGTACTTCGCGCAGGAGCCTGTGTGTGAGCCCAGGCCCGCGTGCCGCCGGCAGGGGCAAAGCACCCCCGAGGGGTTCAGTTCAGCCTCCACCTGCTGACACCCCGGACAAAGCACACGCCTGCGCCGCGGAAGCCCAGCCTGGCCGGAGGGCAGCAAGCCTCCCACGGGGGTGGACAAACCCTGGAGGGCCGGGGCGGGAGAACTGGGCCCTGCAGGGCGACGGCCCCAGAAGGCGGGCGGAGGAGGCCCGCGGACAAGCCCCCAGACTGTTCCCGCCCCACAAAGCGCCTCCAGCGGCGCCCGCGCCGGCGAGCGCGGAGGCCCGGCCCGTGACTGGACACGCCCGGCGAGCTGGGGCTGAAGTCCTGAGCGGCCCCCCGGCGTCCCCGCTCACGCCTCAGGGCGCACAGCGGCCCAGGGCGCCGGGCACGGGCGTCCCGGGGGGCGGACCGCGGCGGGGCGCGTCCGGCGCGGCCACCCCTGCCGGCGCGGGCCGCGAGGCTCCAGCGACCGCACCGGCCCAGCCCGGCCGCCGCCGCCGCCCTCCCGGGGAGCGCCCCGCTCCGGGCGCGCGGCCCGCGCTCACCCCGCGCCCAGTCGGCCATCGCGGCCCGGCCCTGCCCGTCTCCGGCCGCCGCGGCGCCTCAGACGTGGCGCGTCGCGCAGGACTTCCGGCGCCCGGGCCCGCCCCTTCCGGCCGCGCAGGCGCGTCAGCCCAGGGAGGCCGCGCAGGCGCGTCACCGAGGAAGGCCGCGCCCCGCGGCCGGCGCCCCAGGCGGGGCGGGGCGGGGCGGGGCGAGCGGGGCGGGGCGAGCGGGGCGGGGCGGGGCGGGCGCGCGGCGGGGCCCGGAACCGGGAGCCGCGCGAGGACCCGCCCTTTCTCCGGCGCCGTCCCGGGGGCGCCATGGAGCCCCGGGCGGTGGCGGACGCCGTGGAGGCGGGCGAGCAGGACGCGGTCCTGGCGGCGCTGCGCGCGTACAACCGGGAGGTGAGGCCGCCGGGGGCGCCGGGGGGCGGGCGGGCGGGCGGGCGGGGGCGCCGCGGGCCGGGCCGGGCCGGGCCGGGCCGGGCCGGGCCGGGCCCGAGCGCCCGCTGAGCCGCCGGCCTCTCCGCAGAACTCGCAGAGCTTCACGTTCGACGCCGCCCAGCAGGAGGACAGGAAGGTGGGCGCCGGCGGGCGCGGGCGGGCGGGCGGGCGGGCGGGCGGGCGCGCGCGCGCGGCCCGGCCCGGCCCGGCGAGACACCCTGTCCCCTGCCCGCAGAGGCTGGCGGAGCTGCTGGCCTCGGTCCTGGAGCGGGGGCTGCCGCCCGCCTGCCGCGTCGCCTGGCTGCAGAGCGTGCGCATCCTGTCCCGGGACCGCGGCTGCCTGGCCCGCTTCGCCGGCCGCCGGAGCCTGCAGGCGCTGGCCCGCCACGCCGGCCTCTCCGCGCCCGAGGGCCCGGGCCTCGAGGCCCCCGACATGGACGTGGCGCTGGAGGCGCTCAAGTGCCTGTGCAACCTCGTGCTCAGCAGCCCCGCGGCGCAGGTGCTGGCGGCCGAGGCGCGCCTGGTGGTGCGGCTGGCCGAGCGCGTGGGCCGGAGCGGCCGGGGCGGGCTCCCGCACGACGTCCGCTTCTTCGACCTGCGCCTGCTCTTCTTGCTCACCGCGCTGCGCACCGACGTGCGGCAGCAGCTGTTCCGGGAGCTGCAGGGCGTGCCCCTGCTGACCGACGCGCTGGAGCTGACGCTGGGAGTGACCCCCAGAGAGAGCCCCCCCGAGCTCCTTCCCCCTCAGGAGACTGAGCGGGTCATGGAGATCCTCAAGGTGCTCTTCAACATCACCTTTGACTCTGTCAAGAGAGAGGTGGATGAGGTGAGCGCTCACCCGCCGGTGGTAGGTGGGGCTTAACGCAGCGCAGTTCCTGGCCCTGCACCCCCAGGGCTCCTCCGCTCTCCTGGGGAAGGGCCTGCGAGGGCTCCCCTGGTCCACGGCTCAGCGTGCGCGTGGAGGCCATGTGCCACACCCCACCGCGAGGTGGCCGCCAGCAGAGTGTTCCCTCACCCTGGGATCTCAAAGGTGGGAGGGATGGGAGGGCCAGGTGCGTCCGTGGGGCTGCCCAGCGGGCCTTGTTCCTCAATGGGCACCTGTGGGCCTCTCACCGGAGCCCTTCTCTCTGGTCAGGAAGACGCTGCCCTTTACCGGCACCTGGGGATCCTGCTGCGCCACTGCGTGATGGTGGCAGCCGCCGGGGACCGCACAGAGGAGCTCCGCGGGTGAGGGTGGGCTGGGGCCACCAGGGCTGTGGACCACGCTCCACCCACGGGAGTCCTTAGCACTTTCTGGGTGGGGCGGACATCAGTTTTCCAAGGAGCACTGAGTACTTCTAATATCTATCGGGACAGGAAGGCATCCCAAGGTGCTTGGGTAGTGGCAGTGGACAACACAGTATCCACTAATATGGACGTTCACCCCATTCTCAGCAACTCAAACCTGCTGAGCCCTGGTTCCCCAAGCTCACCTAAGGCACTGTGCACTGAGGGGGCACGTGGGGTGCCTGCAGAGCGGTCACCAGGGACCCACCCCCAGCATCAGCCCCGATCCCTGGTGTGCTGTCAGGCCCACGCGCTCACGTCCCGTACGGCGGACGGGGCCACCGGCTGCAGGTGCTGGCAGCTGGCACTGACCCAGCCCCTCTCATCTGCCCCCAGGCACACAGTGAACCTTCTGGGCAACTTGCCGCTCAACTGCCTGGACGTCCTCCTCACCCTGGAGCCACACGAAGGCTCCCTGCAGTTCTTGGGCGTGAACATGGATGTGATTCAGGTTCTCCTTGGCTTCTTGGAGAAGCGTCTGGACCAGGTCAGTGGGAGCCCGCACAGCAGGCTGTGGGCCCTGGGAAGCCTGTGGGCCCTGTCCACCAGTGGGGGGCGGTGGTCTCACCTTGGTGGATCCCAGCAGAAGAGGTCTGCAGGCAGCAGGGTGCTGTTCTCCGGGTGTCTGTGCCCTGCTCGGCCCCGAGAAGCTGCCACCCCTGCTTGTGACCCTAGATCCTCAGTGTCACTGCACAGGCAGTTTCGGGGACACGTGTCTGCATCTTTGGCTTCTCTGAGGGGACAAGACCACCAGAAGCCTCCTGCCAGAAGCTTCCGGTCCCCGGGCTGCTCCACGGGGCGTTGGCTGATGGGTGCTGGGCAGCCCCTCCAGGAGCTTCCTGTTTCCCCACAGTGGGTGGGGCTGGGCGGAACCCTTGGGACCTGGCATCAGGCCAGAGGGCACTGCTGCCTTCGCTGATGGCGTCGGGCCCCAGGGGTGCCAGGGAGGGTCAGGGCCCTGGCGCTGTGTCCCTGAGGCCATGTCAGGCTTGGCTCTGGCTGGTCGCCTCGGTGTAGAGGCGCGTTTGGAGTGGCTGTGTGGTTTCTCTGCGCCCAGCACGCAAGTAGCTGCCTGAGTCAGGGCCCACCCCATCCCTCTCGAGGCTCGCCTGGGCACCGGCTGAGCCAGCTGACTGCAGCAGGTCCTGAGCCCCTGCTGCCGGGCTCTGCTGGTTGTGTCGCCCGCCGGAGGCCAGCCCAGGTGACACAGGCTGCTCCGCAGACGCACAGGCTGAAGGAGAGTGTGGCCCCCGTGCTGAGCGTGTTAACAGAGTGCGCCCGCCTGCATCGCCCTGCCAGGAAGTTCCTGAAGGCACAGGTAGGGCGGAGGGCGGGGCTGGGCTGCATCCCAGACCCAGCCTCTCTGGGCTGGGCTGAGGGACTACCGTCTCCCAGGTGCTGCCCCCGCTGCGGGATGTGAGGACCCGGCCTGAGGTCGGGGAGCTGCTGCGCAACAAGCTCGTCCGCCTTATGACGCACCTGGACACCGACGTGAAGCGGGTGGCCGCTGAGTTCCTGTTTGTCCTGTGCTCCGAGAGCGGTGAGTAGGCACTTGCCCTGGGCTGGCCCTCAGCAGCCACAGCCACACACTGACCCCCACCTGCCCCTCAGTGCCGCGCTTCATCAAGTACACAGGCTACGGAAATGCTGCTGGTCTCCTGGCCGCCCGGGGCCTCATGGCAGGGGGCCGGCCTGAGGGCCAATACTCGGAGGACGAGGACACGGACACAGAGGAATACAAGGAGGCCAAGGCCAGGTGTGTGCCTCAGGCCCTTGCCGCATGCAGCTCTCCCTGCCGCACACCCATAGACCCGTGTGGGGTGGACAGCTGGCAGGCCGTTCCCACGCCAGGCTCCCATCCCCACGTCACACATCCAGGGGTCACGACATGTTGGAACAGAGGTGGGCAGCTGGGGCGGTGGGGCTCGCCCAGATGGCGGGAGCTATGGCTGCACCCAGAGGCAGGGCCCTCTTCCTGCGGCCAGGCGCCTCCGTTTTCCCCAAAAATGGCTTCTTGCCAGGTCAGCCCATGCAGGGGGCAGGGGTCACCCGTTCCAGGCAGCCCCTGTCCTAGAAAGTCCCTCACGTACCCACCCCTCCCTGGGAAACAGCATCAACCCAGTGACCGGGAGGGTGGAGGAGAAGCCACCCAACCCCATGGAGGGCATGACGGAGGAGCAGAAGGAGCATGAGGCCATGAAGCTGGTGAACATGTTTGACAAGCTGTCCAGGTAGGCCGCCCGCAGACCCTTGATAGGCTGTCCAGAAGGACTGCCCACAGACCCCCGCCTGCACAGAGCGACCAGAGCAGGGCAGGGCCTCGGGAAGCAATCAGGCGGCCCAAGGTCTGGAGCTGTGGGCAGTGGTTACGGTTGAGGCCTGGTCAAAGCGAGGTCCCACAAGGGGCCCGAGTTACGGCCGGGGCTGGTGGTGTGGGCTGTGTGGGCGGCAGCGGGCGGGAGCACCAGGACCCTCAGAGCCCGCCCTGCCTCTCCTGCAGACACAGAGTCATCCAGCCCATGGGGATGAGCCCCCGGGGTCAGCTCACATCCCTACAGGATGCCTTATGCGAGAGCGTGGAGGGGCAGTTCTCGGGCCCCGACTCAGACCCCGACTGAAGACGGCTGTTCCGCTGCACCCCCTCCAGAACTGGTGCTGCTTCCGGAGGTGTCCTTGGGTCTCTCGCCAGGGAGCCACGCCCCTCCCGCTTGGAGACCCCTTCCTCCCATGTTTTGTTAATGACCTGCCTCTGGTCCAGTACCTGATCTCTAGGCCTGCAAGGGCCTCGTCCTGCCAAAGCTCAGCCTTGGCGTCTGCAAGGGAAGCGGACCCTGCCCAGAGGGGCTGAGCAGGCTGGGGGCCTGCGGGGCTGCCTGTGATGTCAGAAACCCACCTCCACATTTGCTTTGCGGTCCGTTCCTACCAAGTGCAGGCTGGGGGCCCCTTCTGCACGCCCATCCTGGCTTAGCCGCTGGCCACTGCATCCCCAGCCCCAGGGTCCCGCCAGGTGGGACTGTTGAACCTCAGTCTCCATGCTGGCTTAGACCATCGGCGTGTAAATGGAAAAGTCCCTCGTGAGCCCATTCATCTCTGTCTTGTGTCACAGAAACGCCAGCCGGAATAAAGAGACTTGAGCAAGAGTGTGTGAGCCCAAGCGTGAGTCATCCGGGCGCGAGCAGAGTTAGGAGTTGACTCCATTCTGCTCCGCACCAGCACATCTCGCGTTATTCTTGATAAATGAGGCCACCAGGCACCTTCCAGGTCCTGCTCAGCTAAATTTGCTGAGCAAGCGCCAGCCAGGCAGGGCTAGAAGGTGCCGGCAGGGCGGCCAGGGTTGGGGGCCAGTTAGGGCGGCCTAGTGCAGAAGGGGGGTGGTCAGCGCCCAGCCGGGACATGGAGCCAGGGCCTCCGGTCACCCCAGCAGAGCCCACCGAGATCCCTTTGGTGGGGTCCCTGCACTCCCTTGAGAAAACAAGTGAAGGGGTCCCCACTTCTTACATAAAAGTTTATTTTGTGGTAAAAATGAGAGATAAGGTTTCTCTCAAGTTAATTTTTCTCTAAAAATAACCTTGCCGAGGAGGCCAACGTGGCACTGCTGAGACCCAGGGGCAGCCCTGGGGTGGGGGTGGCTGCCCAGCATCCATCTGCCCCAGCTCAAGGGGGTTGCTGTGGGTGAAGCATTGGCACTGAGCTTGCGGAGTAGCATGGGCAGTCCTGCTGACCAGCGAAACCCACCCAATGGCACGGGGCTTGTGCTGGGGCCGCCAGCTCTGCTCCGGGCACCTGTTTCCACTGGGCCAGAACCCTGCCGAACTGCGTCCTCCAGGAGAGGTCTCCTCAGTACAGGCTGCTCCCCCTGCAGCCACTGCCGGACCGGGCGGCCACCGCTCTCCTAGCCGTCCCGTCCGCCCAGCTGGAACACAGGAGAGAAGGAGCCGGTTACTCCAGGGCCGGCCTGGGCGCAAAGGTCCATAAAGCGGAAGCTTTCCTATGTGGCAGTGCTGCCACTGGGCCTGTGAGGGTGCAGGGCCGGGGGGGGGGGGTAGGTGTAGCCATGATGCCCACAAGCTCACAGGTAGCTCAAGCCAGGGCTGTGACTCATCCCCCAAAAGTCAGTCCTGAGAGCCACGCGTTTGACATTAGAAATGCTGGTGTCTGGTCCCAGAGGAGTCCCGCCCACAGCCCAGGGCCACGCAGCTCAGTCCCGCTGCTGCAGGGAGCAGCCGACCTGGCCCCAGGAGGTCCCCGCTGCCCAGGAGCACAACCCTGCAGGAGGCACCGCGCATGCACAGACTTCACTGCCCTCCACGTAGCGAGGAGAGTGGTTCCACTGACGCCGTGGCCCGAGAGCAATGAGGTGTGGGTTAGGGTGAACCCTCTTAGGGGGCTCCTTGGCTCAGCGGAGTGAGAGACCAGGCTGCAGTCAGCAGCTGGGAGGCTGTGGCCTGGGGTGAGGGCTGAGGCCAGCAGGGCGCCCCGCACAGACAGACGCCGCTTGGAGGTGGCTGCGTTTTAGGAGCTCGATGCCTGGATGGACGGGGCTATCCTCGGTCGCATGGCTGCCCAATTCTCAGGGAGACCGCCTGAGCAACCGCCCGTCACCAGGCTCAACACCTGGGGCGCGGCAGGCCCAGTGACCACGGGGGCCGCAGCCTCACACCAGTGTCCCGGGGCACCCCTTAGCACAGGGCCCCCCACCCCCACCCAGCTCAGATGCCCACACCAGGCCCTGCCCTCTGGTGCCTCCTGGCTGTGGGGAGCAGAAGGCCATGGCAGGGCCCAGGCAGGCCTCCATGTGGAGGTGCAAGAACCCCGACGCCGGACCAGCAGCACAGACGGCCCCAGTTGGCTGCAGAGGCGCATCCACCAACACCTGCGTCCTGTCGCTGCTTGGGCGCTCAGGGTCTGCACTGAGCTTGCCAGGCCGGAGCCCCAACAGCCGTGCTCAGCAGACTCTACCTTCCCCATCTCCCTCTGGATGAGGTCCTGCAGCTCTGCCGTCCATCCCAGAAGCTCCACCAGCATTTCCACGCCCTGAACCACGTCCCCCAGCTGCACCACGTCCTGGCTGCGAGGGCTCCAAGCCAAGGACCCCACCAAGTCCCGGTTGATGAGCAGTCGGGGCACTGAGCTCCGCACGGCTTCAGACAGGCTGGCAAAAGGCTCCACCTGAAAAACCACCGTGGTGAGGAGCTCGGGACACTGCACGCCACAGCCTCGGGGAACAGCAGCACCCCAGCCTGCACTGCCCCACAGATGTACCTCCAGGGAGGTCCCGAGGATGAGCAGCAGGTCTGCCATGGGGAAGTCCACCACGTGCAACAGGAACCTCTGGGGCAGCGGCTCCCCAAAGAACACAATGTCGGGCTTCACAATGCCGGTGCAGACCGGGCAGCGGGGGATCCTGTCCGCCATCACGTCCGCCTGGACGAGACACAAAGCAAGCAGATCTGACTTGCGTTAAAACCAAGACATTGTCGCTGCTGTCCCATGTTTCCAACATGACACTCATCAAATTCCTCTTTCCCAGGCCTCGCCCTCTGAGAAGGGCAGAGGGACAACTCACCCAGAAGCCCTCCCCTGGGGAGGGTCTTCGGCAGACGGTGCAGGTGGCAGAGGCGAAAGACCCGTGAGCTTCCACCAGCTTGGAGGCTGGGATGCCAGAGGCTGAAAGGCAAGGCCGGAGCCGTGCTGCGCCCCAGGGATGGGCTCCGGCCACACCCAGAGAGGGTGCCCCCATCAGGAAAAACATGGCAAGTAAAATCATTTAAAGGCCATCAAAGGGCCCCCCTGGGGGCCGGAGGCTAGTCTCAGGCTGTCAGTGCTGAGGCCTGAGTTCAATCCCCAGCCAGGGCGCAGCAGACCTCGCCTGTCTCCCCGCTGCTCCCCTCAGCGGTGTATTTCAGTGGATCCACCTGTTCTGCTCCCCACCCTGTCTATGGTGAGTCCTCTCACCCCGCACCTCTGGCCTGCACCCCAGTTCCTCTACACATAAAATATTTTAAAACAAAATTAAAAAGATGATCAAAATAGCACCAAAAAATTAGACATTAGTTTAGAAAACTATAGCCATTCATTATCTGGGAAAACATTTTCCATTCCACAGATAAGTAAAAACAAAAAAATAATATAAATGCGATAATTTCCCAAACAGGAGCTGGTTACAGGGCCTGTCTGGCAAGAGCCCGTGGGCTCCTGCCTGGCTGCGGGTGACAGTTGCCGAAGGAAGGCCTCCCAGGGCCAGGACCCCCAGACTCGATACCAGGGAGACCCCACAGGTGCCCCTGAAACTCGCGGAGGACATTTTTGCAGACAAAGGTGTTAGGAGTTGGGCGCACAGCAGTCACCAGGTTGGGGACAGATGAGCACTGGGTCCCCAGGCCACCTGGACCCTGCAGACAGGGGCAGGGGGGCGGGTGGTGGCGCGGAGGTGGGTCTGGGCGGGAGAAGGGTGGGGCGGGCAAGTGGGGAAGGTGGTGTGCAGGGCACTGGGGAAGCTGTGGGAAGGCAGGGGCGAGGCAGGGGAGGGCCGCAGTGTGGGCACCGGAGGGCAGGGGCGGCGAGGTGAGGTGAGGTGGGGCAGTGGGGGGCGGCGCAGGCGGTGAGGTCGGTCGGGGAGGCGGGGGTGGAGGGAGGGGGGCAGTGCAGCGAGTGTGGTGAGGGGTGGGGGGTGCGAGGGCGGGAGCGAGGAAGGGGCAGCGGGCGCTCCCGGCCCACCTCGCTCCAGCCCGTCGATGTTCTGCGTGTAGAGGCGCAGCAGCAGCCCCTTCTCGTGCAGCAGGCGGAGGAAGTAGTGCGCGGCGTTGGGCCGGTAGTGCCCGGGGTTCAGCTCCTTGGCCAGCGTGAAGAAGGGCTTGGGGTTGTGAAAGAAAAACGTGAGCTCGAAGATGGCCTCGGGGTACGGGAGGTCGTACTGCCGGAGGTTGCTGTAAAGGCCGCTCCCGGGGGACCTGCCGGAGGGGGCAGGAGGCTCAGGGCGGGGCAGAGGCGGGCGGGGGGCGCGGGGCGCGGGGCGGGCGGGCACCTGAAGTCCGGGATGCCGCTGGGCGTGCTGATGCCCGCGCCCACCATGGCCACGACCCTCCGGCAGGCGCCGGCGCGCACCCGCTCGGCCACGTCCCGCAGGCAAAGCTTCCGCGTCCCGCCGTCGCCCCCGCTTCCACAGACGGGCCTCCGGCCCCCGCGAGGCTGCGGGCGGAGGAGAGGGGCGTCGGCGCTGGGGGCCCCGCCCGCGCGGGCTGGCCCGGAGGCGGGTCCCGAGAGGCTCAGGCCCCGGCTGCTGCGGCCCCGGGGCCGGGGAGAGGGGCGGGGGGCGGGGGCGCCCCTCCAGACGCCGGGCGCGGCGACACCCCGATAGGCCGACGGCCGCTGTCTCCCCCGCAGGAGCGAACGAGACACGCCACGCGCCCCCGGGCCCCGCGGGCTGGGGCGGGCGGGCGTCGGCGCCGGGCGGGCGGGGGGCGGGGCGCGAGGCCCCGGGCCGGAGCCCTCCGCCCAGCCGCGGGCCCGAGGGCGCGGAGCGGGGAAACGGGGCGCCGCGGGGCGGTCGCGCGCCCCACCCGCGCGCGGGGGCGGCCCTGGCCCCCGCAGAGCCCCGCGCGCGCCCCGCGCGGCCGGAGCGCCTCGGCGGCGGGCAGGGGGCGCCCGCCCGCGCGGCCCTCACACAGCCGGGCCCGCGCCGCGCCCCGCCCCGGGCCACGACGGCGGCGCGGCCGGCCGCGGAGGAGGCGCCGGGTCGCCGGGCGCGCGGCCTGGGCCCCGGGGCCGCGGCTGCAGCGGGGCGGAAGCCCAGAGGGCGCCGGAAGGCGGGGGCGGGCTCCAGGCCCCGCCAGGGCGCCAGACGCCCGCGGCCCCGCCGCCCCGCGCCGCCCCGCGCCGCCGCCCGGACCCACCGAGCCAGGCCGGCCCGGGCCCGCTCCCCGCCCGGGGCCCAGGGGCGGAGCGCGGGGGCCGCCAGCCGAAGACTCGCCATGTCCCGCGCAGCCCGGCCCGCGACCTCGTCCCCGACGGTCACGTGCCGCGGCCCCGCCCCGGCCCCGCGGCCCCGCCCCGGGCGCTCCGCCCCGCCCCGCGCGCCCTCGCCCCGCCCCCGCGGTCCCGCCCCGCCCCGCGCGCCCGAGCCCCGCCCCCGCGGTCCCGCCCCGCGCCCTCGCCCCGCCCCGCGCGCCAGGGCCCAGGTGACGGGGGCGGGGTCCGCGCGCGCCCCGAGCGCCGGCCTCTCGCCCCGGAGACCAGGCCGGGATTCGGTCCGCGTTCCTGAGCTGCGTCCGACGCTTTTTCAGTCGTGACGGTGACGTTCGCACTTCCCGAGCGCTCCCCGCGGCCAGGTGTCCGCGCGAGGCCCCACGCGGGAGGCACCGCCATCACCCCCCCACCGGCGACGCCCGCCCCTCGGCGGCCGGGCCGGGCCCCGAGGGACGCGCCGCGCCGCACGCCGTCACCCTGACAACCGGCGGCGCCGGCCGCGGCGGCGCTCCCAGCCTGCCCCGCGCGACGCCGGGCCGGAAGTGAGTGCGCACTTCCGGCGGCCGCCGATCCCGCCGACTGCTCGCGCGCCGCGTCCCGGGTCCTGCCGCCGCCATGAAGGACGTGCCGGGCTTCCTGCAGCAGAGCCAGAGCTCCTGGCCCGGCCAGGCGGCCGTGTGGCACCGTCTGGAGGAGCTCTACACGAAGAAGTGAGCGCGCGGGCCGGCGGGGAGGCCGGGGCGGGGCGGGGGGCGCCGGAGGCCCGGGGCTCCAGGGGGCCGGGCCGGGGACGGCGGAGGGCCGGGGGGTCGGGGGGGGGGGCCGGGGCGGAGGCCGGCCCTGCCTTGGGACTGCCGGGGTCGGGGCCTCACCGGCCCGGGCTGCCCACCGTCCTCGACAACCGGCGCTGCCGTCCGTGCGCGGCCCGTCGCCGGCGGTCTGGCCGGTGTCCACCCGGCGACGGGCTGCGTCCGCCGGGGACACTTCCGGGGTCCCTGCTCGCCGCGGCGCTTCGCCTTGGCCCGGCCGGGTGGGCGCGCGGGGTTGCTCGGAGACGCCGCTGCGGGGCGGCGGGGGGGCCCGAGCCTTGCCAGGCTGTTCTGCGACTCTTGCTGGCGGCGGTCTCGGAAAGGAAATTCTTGTGCTTGGCAAAGGCTTGCTTCTGTTGGATATCACCTTGTGTTTTTTAAGCTTCTTTTTTGCGTTCTTAAAATTTTTGATTTTTCATTTCACGTGGGGTTTGCCCTCGTCTTGGTAGTCCTGACGTCTCCCACCACCCTCTTCGCAGAGGGGGAAGCTGGGGCTCAGCTCTCGCCCCTGCCTGCGAGTCTCACCGATAGAGAGCCGGGGCTCCGTTAGACGTGTGACCCCAAAGTTCCCGTTTCCTTCAACCTGACGCTAGACTTGGGATAGTCTGGAAGAGCGTCCCCACGTGAAGCAAGAGAGTCTTAGAGAAATTTGGTTGGCTCAGGCCCCAGAAGCCCCTGGCGGAACCAGGAGGCCTGGGCGGTGGGCCGGGCCTCAGTGGCCAGCAGGGTCTGCCAGCGTTGGTGTGATGAGCCCACGGTCGACGCTGTGACTGGACCTGTGTTTGTGGGTCTCAAGGGACTTGTGTCTTTCAGGCTGTGGCATCAGCTGACACTGCAGGTGCTTGATTTTGTGCAGGATCCGTGCTTTGCCCAGGGAGATGGTCTCATCAAGGTAAGTCATTTGTCACGTTAGATCAGGTTGTGTAAAAGGACTTAAATATCAGGTGTTTCTCTTTAGCAAGCTACAATCACTTTGTGTCAGGCACTAATCTAAGCATTTTGCATATTCATTCTCTGTGCCAGGGAGGCAATGCTGCTGATGCCCTGTGTTTTGATATAGAAGCAGATGCTGAGAGGTCTACTTGCCATAGGTTGCAGCTAGTGAGTGACAGAAAAAGATTCCACTACAGGCATTCTGGTTTCTAAAACTCCAGCCGTGTTGTAGCTTGTCCCTGTGTCTTAGCGTTCATAGACTGTTTTCTTTTTTTTAAGTGTTGTGGTTTTGGGGGAAATTGCTCAGAAATTGAAAATTTAGAACCTGAGGGGGGAGGGGTAGAGAATTATAGAGGTGGATCACCTGACACAGCTTCTAGGTAACTGCCAACACTCCTCTCCCCTCACCCCCACTGATCCTGCTCGCCCGCCCAAATCTTTGGTCCTGTGCCGCACTTGGGGTGGGTGCCCCATAGGGTACCTCTGCAGTAAGCACTTCCAGAATTTTGGCGACAGAAAAATAGAAACCACACCCTGCCCCAGCCTTCCCCAGACCCTCTAAGAAGCTCTGATGGGTCCTCTTAAGCCTCCCTGGCAGCCTATGCTCTGACACCTTGCTCTTGGGCCCTGACTGGATTGGGCTTGACACCTGCACTGGCCTGTGTGCACACAGCGAGCTTGGCCGCTTCCTTGCCTCTCCATGTGGCCTCCCAGGAGTCTCTTGTGGTTTTCCCCTCACTTTGACATTTTACTAATGGAAGGAACTTATCATAATCTGTAAACCTGTAGATTTTGTTGGACATTCTGTGTTTTGGATTCTGTGGAGAAATGGTAAATTAGAGATGTTTTAACATATGTTCCCTAAGGTTTTTGATCATGGTGGTAGCTAATGTATAATAATTCGTTTCTCTCCTTTGTTTTGTGTTAAAAATCACTGTCTACATATAGCAAAGTAGTTCCTAACCTTGTAAGTAACAAAGTATTTGGGTTGTCCACTTCAAGGTTACTATTTCTGTGGCCAAGGTAAACCTTTAAAAGTTGTTGGAACTCGGCCCACAGAGGACCCATGCAGAGAGTGTTCATGAATCTCCAGTCACTGGAGTGCCTTTGAGGGTTGGGCTTGTGGGCTTTTTCTTTTCTGTAATTGCATACGTTACAGTAGATATCAGAAGAGTTGAGACCTCACCACTTAAAGAAGAATCCTTTGAAATAGTCCTCTGTATTTGAAAAAACCACTTTATTTAAAGGCTCTTGGACAGGTGTGAGCTTTAAATATCATTTTTTTTTTTTTTAAAGATTGATATATTTATGCATACAAGAGCTGGGGTACAGGCCAGAGGTGTGAGGGGTGAGAGGATCCACCAGAGAAAGAGTGGGGAACAGAACAGGCAGATCCACTGAAGCATACTGCTGAGGGCAGCAGTGGGGAGACAGGAGTGGTCTGCTGCGCCATATGGCTAGCTCCCTGGCCAGGGATCGAACTTGTGCTGCAGTGGCTGCGGACAGCTTCATAGGTTGCATCTTAACCCCTTGTGCCACCAGGGAGGCCCAGCTTTAAGTATCTTAACTGGCTCCCACAGAGATTTTTTTTTTCCAATTTTATTGTGAAATTATTGACACATAACATCGCTTTATTTAAGGTGTACGGCATGGTGACTGGAGATGGATATGTGTGTGAGATGATCATCACAGGTTACACCAACATCTGTCATCACACACACATTTTTTTTTTTGAGAAGAACTTTTAAGATCTGTTTGCTCAGCAGCTTTCAGTATGCCCTGAGTGCTCTCAGCCGCGGTCACTGTGCCCAGTACTGGCCGAGCTTGACGCTGTGGTTCCTGCCCGTTGCCCGCCCTGAGTGGCCTTGCCTGGCAGCCCCAGTCCGTGCTTCCTTGAGCTCAGCCGTGGAGCCCTTCCGCACGCAGGAAGAGGCAGCCTTTCCCTCTTCGTGGTTGAGGCGTGCTCCGTCCTGTCTGTGTAGCCATGTCTGTTAGTGCCTGCAGTACATTCAGAAGAGCGTGTCATCGTGTGATTGCTTGTCGTTGCACAAACGTCGTGGCGTGTGCTCACAACCTGGACTGGCCCGCTGGGGCCACTCCCCTGTGGGGTCCGCTGGTGACCACAAAGCCACGTTAAGTGACACGTGACTGTACAGCACGTGTCCTGTCACGGAAGTGATTCCATCTTCACACCGCAGAGGAACCTCAGATTCTCCTTATCCCAAGTGGACCTCAGTTGCCCAGTCACCTCCTGTGACCAGCCCCCTCTCTCGAGTCGGGTCCAGCTTACCAGCAGGTCCTCCACTCTTAGTCCTAGTAGCTTTACCCTTGTCCCCTGCTGCCCTCTGCCACCAGTCACTCTAAAATAGAAGCGTGGTCATGTGCTGTGCCGATTCACCCCGCCCAGGCCAGAGACCGAGCCCCGTTGCTGCCCACTCTGCCCTTCAGAAACACTCCAGAGCTTTGCACCTGTTTGCTGTCATCTGGGGTGGCTCCCAGCTGACTCTTCTTCCACGCCATGTCTGTTCTCCAGCTGTGCTGCTTGCCTTAAGTCTCAGCAGTCGTCCTTTCCGGAGCACTTTCTCGGGGATGCCTCCCTTGTCTGGTTCGCCCTTGTGCTTTTTATCCCTTGCCCTTCCTTCACACCCTTGTGAGTGTGCGTTTACAAGTCTGTCATCTGTGCGAGGGACAGGAGCTCCCCAAGAGCCCCGCCTTTGTCTTCTACTTTGTGTCTGTCTAAAGCATCGGAGTCAGTGGGCTGACCAGGGAGGAATGTGGAGATGGGATACGACTGGCCTGCATCCTCCTAAAACCTGAAGGAACTGCATTCTGTCTGGCCAATGAACACTTCTGGCTGAGTCTGTTTTACTTTGGGGCGGTCACATAGGAAATTGTCTTCAGCAGATCTGCATAGAACAGGGTTCTGAGTCCCAAAGCCAGAGGAAGTCCCCCAGCTTTCTTCAGTGACCCGCTGGTAACTGTTTGTGAGGACTTGACAAGCCCAAGCATGGGCCTTGCATCACCTGGCAACCACTGCTGGTGCCTGCTGGGTGATAGGCTGTGTGGGGTTGAGGGTGCAGGTCTTGCAGCATGAAAGTGCCCTCTGACGACTGTCCATGTTTTGGCTCTACAGCTTTATGAGAACTTCATCAGTGAGTTTGAACACAGGTAAAGCTCTTCTCAACTTCAGTTTTTTTTGTTTTTAATGATTTATTTTTATTTACTTATGCATACAAGAACTGGTGCGGGGGTGAGAGGATCCCCCAGAGACAGTGGGGAGCAGAGCAGGCAGATCCACTGAGATCCACTGCCAAGGGGAGCAGCAGGGAGAACAGGAGGGGTCTGCTGCACCTTTGGGTCCCTCCCTGGCCAGGATTGCACTCAGGCCACAGTGGCTGTGAGAGCTTCACAGCGCTGAGACTGACCCCTGCACCCCAGGGAGGCCCCCGAGTTCACTTTAGCCCGGCACACGCTGATGCTCTCTGGCCCTCAGACTGTGGTTTATCTTTCAGGGTGAACCCCCTGTCCCTGGTGGAGATCACCCTTCATGTTGTGAGACAGATGACGGGTGAGTCTCCCTATGGTTGGAAAAGGAGTGATTCCGAACAGTGATTAAGATGCTTTTTCAGTTGAATCATTGCCTGTCGGTAGGAAGTGTCAGGTTCTAAACTCTGTTCTCGTTGTACTTTACATTCTGACCCGAGAGATCGCCCTGCCAGAAGCGCCTGTGGGGGAAGCCACGCTGTGCGGAGACCCCACTGTGGTTCTAATGACTGTTCTTTTTTTCCCCCTAGATCCTAACGTGGCTCTTAGTTTTCTGGAGAAAACTCGTGAGAAGGTAAATACAAAGTCTGCATCAGAGCCTTGCTGTCCACCGTGCTGGCTGCGCACACGTCCTTCCCAGAAGCTCCATCCGCCTCTGTGCTCATTCAGCGCCGCTTGTCCCACCCCAGGTGAAGAGCAGCGACGAGGCGGTGATCCTGTGCAAGACGGCCATCGGTGCCCTCAAGCTGAACATCGGGGACCTGCAGGTCACCAAGGTAAGGCTTCAAGGTGGTCGCGTTCAATGGCTTGTTTAAAACTGGAGGTCTCGCTTTTTCGTGTTAGTGTTTTTAAAAATAATTATTTCTCTTATGTTTAAATTATAGAAAAGTTGCAAAAGTAGCACAGAGCGTTTTGCCACTTTGCACAAGTGTGTGTGAAAAAGACAGAGAGAGATTTTCTTGGCCCAGTTGGAGAGAAAGTTGATGGTACAATGATTGCCCGCCTTAACACAGAGCCCCCACCCGAGGCCGCCTGCCGTGGCCACGCCTCTGCCACGCCTTGTTCCTGTGGTGTAATGTTGGAGTCAGCTGTGGAGATGGTGCGGACTGAGGTGGTCGGTCCCCTTGTTTAACTGGAGACCACGTGTTTGTTTTGCTTTGGTGACCAGAGCACTAAAGAGGGCACTCAGGTGTCTTGCACTTGCCCTAAAAATCGCCTGTCCTCTCTGCCTCCCCAGTCTCGACACGTGCACCCTTGCCGTGTGTGTTTTTGGTTTTGGTTTTTGGTTTTTGTTTTTTTAAGATTTATTTATGCATACAAGAACTGGGGTGCAAGCGTCAGAAGTGTTGGGGTGAGGGGACTCCCCAGAGACAGAGTGGGGAGCAGAACAGGCAGATCCACTGAAATCCACTGCTGAGGGGAGCAGCGGGGAGATGAGAGGTCTGATGCGCCATGTGGGTAGCTCCCTGGCCAGGATCGAACTCATGCTGCAGAGGCTGCCGATAGCTTCATAGCGCTGTGCTTTACCCCTGAGCCACCGGGGAGGCCCACTTGCCATGCTTGTTTGGAAGCATTTATGACGCAGCTGAGGAAACTATAAGGAGTGCTGTGATGGCCACGGCCCTGCAGTGAGGGTGCCCTGGGAGGGCTCCCCACACATACACACACCGCGTTCCATGGCCCTTTGCTTGCCCGGGGCCTCCCTGGAGGTGGGGGAGTGACGGCGGTTTCAGCCGGTTGCCGGGATGATTGGCTTACGTCTTCCTTCCTGGTGCCAGTGACCCGTGAATCTGGGGGAATGTTCCACAGCCTATATGTCCAGCCCCCGTTGAAGGGGCTCGGGTTTGTTAGCTGCGGTGCTGTGCCTGTGTGAGGGGCAGGCGAGGCTGCAGGGGTGAGACACACACTCTCCGCCTCCCCGACCTTGCAGAGCATTTCTCCCAGCGACCCCACCCAGCACCAGGTGGGCATCCAAACCGCACTGTGGCCCGTGGCCCTTCCAGGCTCTGCTTCTCACCCCCAGGTGGGGTCCAGGCTCCTGGCAGGCTGACCCTCGCCCCCGCTACGGGGGCCACACTCTCTTCCCTTGTCTTCCTGTTCTTTGCTCCATGCCGCCGGGCACTCTCCCCTCCAGTGTCTCCTCGCCTAGCTGGCGCATTCATTTCTGCGTCTGGTGCGCTGTAGCCGTTTCCAGGCTATGCCTTGGCGAGGGCATCTTATCATATGTCACCTTTAAGGTGCTTTAAGTCACAAAGAAAGCTGGCTGTGCCTTTCTGCAGGAGACCATCGAGGAGGTCGAGGAGATGCTCGGCGCCCTCCCCGGGGTGACGTCCGTCCATAGCCGTTTCTACGACCTCTCCAGTAAATACTACCAGACCATCGGGAACCACGCCTCCTACTACAAGGACGCGCTGCGCTTTCTGGGCTGCGTGGACATCAAGGACCTGCCAGGTAACGGCAGTGCCCAGTGTCGCTGAGGCGCTGTCCACGCTGCATAGAGACGCGGCGGGAGGGATGCCGTCTGGGCCTGAACATCTGCGTTCTTTCCCCTCAGCATTGGGCTCAGGTGAGGTGCAGTCAGCTCCTGCCGGCCTGCCCCACCCCCTCTGCCTTGCCGGAGCCTCTGTCAGAGGCACGGCCGGAGGACACCTGACGCTACAGGTGGGGGTGCTCTGAACCCCACGCCTGAGACGCTTGTCCCAAAAACTGGAGCAGCTGCCCAGTGGGGCTGAGTCACAAGGCCTTTCAGGGGTTGAGGTGGAAAGGAAAGTGACCCATGAGTTTGGGGGGAAACACAAGAAATACGTGTCTAGACGGGAAACCAGCGTGTCCTCACAGGACAGCGCAGAGGGTGAGGCCCGGAACCACACGGCTGGTGCGGGCTCCTTGCCGCGCTCCAGGAAGCGTGTTGGGAAAGAGCCGAGGGCCGGGGCGAGGAAGAGAAGTGCCTTGTGAGCAGAAAGCAGGTCAGGGCTGTCTTCCAGGGGCTGGACAGGCCCGCGGCACAGGGCCACCCACCCCGCACGGCCCAGGGTCTGGCAGAGCTGACGCCGAGGGCGGTCACTTTCATTTCTCACATGGGCCGTTGGAAGCCGCGGGCCCCGCTTCTCGTGGGCGGGCTGTGACCCGGTGTCTTCGGCCTAGTGTCGGAGCAGCAGGAGCGCGCATTCACGCTGGGACTGGCGGGGCTCCTCGGCGAGGGTGTGTTTAACTTCGGAGAGCTCGTGAGTAGACTTGGGTGGGGGTGGGGGGCGCGGGGGGCCGCTTCGCCCGCCAACCATCTGCTGTTGCAGCTCATGCACCCGGTGCTGGAGTCGCTGCGGGGCACCGACCGGCAGTGGCTGATCGACACCCTGTACGCCTTCAACAGCGGCAACGTGGAGAGGTTCCAGACACTCAAGAGCGCCTGGGGGCAGCAGGTCGGCGGGCGGGCGGGCGGGCGGGCAGGCGCAGGGCTCCGGGTTCTGTTTGGTAGGGACTCCAAGTCCGGGTCAGGTGACAGTGTCCCTCTGCCTCCCAGCCTGACCTGGCAGCCAACGAAGCCCAACTGCTGAGGAAGATCCAGCTCTTGTGCCTCATGGAGGTGAGCCTGCCCCCCCGAAACTGCCCTGCAGTCAGACCACTCCCTCCTCGCCCTTGTCCTCACTGAGAAGCGTGACTGAGCTCGGAGGCGGGGCACTGAGGACAACTGCCTCTTCCAGCAAACACTGACAGAGACGCCCTTGTCCGTGGTCTGACAGCTTTTGTTTGGAAGAATTATTATTATTTTTTTTTTTTTTCAGATGACTTTCACGCGGCCTGCCAACCACAGGCAGCTCACTTTTGAAGAAATTGCCAGAAGTGCAAAAATCACTGTGAACGAGGTACAGTTCTCAGACTCAGGGTGCTGCCCAGTGGGCTGGGGCTCAGCGCCCACAGAGGGACCCCCAGGTGCCCTTGAGCCTCAGGGCTGCCACCGTGGCGCCTCATGCCGTGCTCCCGTCTAGCCCGTTCTCTGCACACACAGGTGGAGCTGCTGGTGATGAAGGCGCTGTCCGTGGGGCTGGTGCGGGGCAGCATCGACGAGGTGGACAAGCGCGTGCACATGGCCTGGGTGCAGCCCCGTGTGCTGGACCTGCAGCAGGTGATGGGCCGTGAGGTGGCTGCCTAGGAGGGTTTCCCTGGGCCCCCCTCCTCCCGTCTCCCCCACCCGGCGTAGGTGTCCTCGGGTGTGTCTGAGTCTTGTTTGGGTAGAAGCCACTTCGGGAGACAGCATGGGTCTTGAGTTCCTGCTGTGGGGCTGAGGGTTTCAGAGTCTCGTTTAACGTGAGCCTGGGCCCGGCCCTGCATTTTAGAGCTTACGGAGACAACGGCGCCGCTTGTGCTGCTGGTGCCTTTTAATCCTGAAATTGGTGCCTGTGCAGACACGTTCCTGGTCCTGTGATTCGAGCTCAAATCCCTCTTGTCCGTGTTTGTTGGGAATCTAATCCTGTGGTTTCCTCCATCCTTGCCTGTCGTCTCGCGTGTCTCTCCAAACCCCCTTGCGATAAGAGCTGCCGGGTAATCCCGCCTCCCCCCGCCCCCAGCTCTGGTGTCCTCAGTAGCACTGCCTTGACCTGAGTTGGGACCGGGGAGCCGCCTTGGCCCCAAGCACCTAACCTGTGTCCCTCTCCGCTCGCAGATCAAGGGGATGAAGGGCCGCCTGGAGCTCTGGTGCGCCGACGTGAGGAGCATGGAGATGCTGGTGGAGCACCAGGCCCACGATATCCTCACCTAGGCCACCTGCCCAGCCTCGCAGCGGATGATCCTGACCACCAAGATTTGCATTTGGGGGGCTGTCATTGATGGGGCCCGGCCACAGGGAGAGGCCTGCAGGAGGGAGGGGCCCCTGCAGGCAGGGTGTGTAGATGCCTGAGCGCTGCCTCCCCAGGCTGCTCACCCTTGCACCCACCTGTGTGACGTTCCCAGCCGCCTGCATGTCTAATAAACGCCTTGGCTTTGTCTCTTTCCTTTGGCTTCTCTCCCAGGACCTTGGAGGGTCTCCCCTGCCACAGCCACCCTAACCCTCTGGTGGGGTGGGGGGGGCGGGCAGCGCACACAGAAGACTCCGTAGGCAAGCGGGTGGAGGGAAGGGTTTAATAGGTTAGCAGGGCCGCGTCCTGTCCTGGAGCAGGGCGGGAGCCTCACGCCGAGCCGCCATGCTTGTAGCTCTGCAGGTTGCCCAGGACCCAGCCTGCGGGGATCAGGAAGCTGAGGAAGATGACGGAGAGCCCCACGGCCTGCTCCTGGTTGGGGGGGGGGGCGGGGGATAGAGACCTGTGAGTCCTTGGGCCAGGACTGTCCCAGGCCCTTGGAACCCAGTTGGGTGGTGTGGAGCTGGTGAAGGCCTGCAGGGGCTGCCTACAGTCATGGTGGACGGGGGAGGCCTGAACCCCCACCCCCGACTCGAGCAGGCCCCTGACGGGGGCCCAGTGCAGCTAGTGCTCTGCGGGCAGTGGGCTGCAGCTGGTCCAGGCACCAACTGAGCTTTGCCTCTCCTCGCGCCCCCCCCCGGGGCTGGCCTTGCGCCCTCAGACCTGAAGCCCAGTCAGGAGCCAGCCTCTCCTCAGGCTGCTGATCCCAAGGGCCAAGGACAGCTCTGGCCTGGCACAGAAGCTCCTGCTCTTCCCCTGTCGCCTCTCCGGCTGTGTGACCTTGGGCAGTGACCTAGAGCCCGGTCTGTGTTTTAATCTGAAGCTGACCTGTTCTCCCACAGCAGCTCTCTTCCCCATGGAGGGGCGGAGCCTGAGGGCCCTTGTCTGCTCGGAAACCCCTGGGGCCTCCGAGCAGACCCCAGGCCTGGCAGCTGCCAGGAGGCCCCGGGAAGCTGGCTGCAAGGGCCCCTCTGGGGCTTGGCTGGCACCAGGGGTGCTGGAGCCTCAGGCCACTGGGCACAGTGGCAAAGGCTCTGACCTGTGTCCTGGCCAGAGAGGACGTCCCTTACCCTTCAGCAGCCTGGCCCTCTGCGTCCAACCCACACCTGAGGCCCCCGGGGACCGTGCACCCTCCCGGTCAGGTCACTCACTGCAGCAGAAGTAGGCGTCCTGGCTGGCTTGTCTGAGATGTGTGCCCTGGGGACCCCCCCAGCCCTCAGGGGGGCTTGCAGCCGCCGGACAGCAGGGACCAGTCTCAGCATGGTGGTCAGGTTGAGCTCCGCCCCGAGTCCCGCCGTGGTGTGTCCTCTGCACGTCTGCTGCTCGCTTGGCCTTTTATAGCTCAAGGGGGAGCGCAGCTGTCCTGTGACTATTTGGCAGGAGGGGTGTATGCAGGGCAGGAGAGCCTCACACTGCGCCCTTCTGCAACCTGGGGGCGCCAGCAGGGCTGTGCATGGGGCCTAGGCGTCCACACAGAAGAGCCAGAGAGAGCTGGTAGGGAAGCGACCAGGGTCCAGCTGAGGACGCAGGGATGAGACGGCTGCAGCATCCGAGTGTCTGCTGGGGGCAGCACGCAGAAACCCCCCCCCCACCCCGGGGCTGCCAGCCTGTCTGGGCTGCGGGCAGTGCAGGCAGGACCAGCCTGAGCCTCTCCTCTCCGCCACCCCATTGGCCCAGGCCCTGCATCTCTCCCTGGCTGTCGGAAGCTGAGCTGGGACCCTCTGCCACGTTGTGCAGGCTCCTGACCCCTCTCTGGCCGGGCACCTGGTGCTCTGGTCACCTCCCCCCGGGTCATTGCCCCTCCCGTTGGCTCATGCCACATTGCACCAGCTTTCCCTTCCACCAGGGGCATGTGTGCTACCCCAGCCCCGCCATCAGCACCCCACTCGGCCCCCAGCCCCCTACGTGCCCCCACCACACACAGGCCAGCCTCCCACTGCCTCTGTTCAGCCTCCTCACCTCCTTCCCAGCCCAGGCCGCCCCTGGCCAGCTCCCATGCCCAGGCCCCACCTGCCAGGGCTGGCCTCCCTGCTGATTTGGGGGTCCTCGGGCCAGGCCCTCGGGGCGGCCCAGGCGCAGCTCCTGTGGAGGCCTGTGGGCGGCCTTGATCAGCAGACCTCAGGGTCCAGGTAGCGAGCACCGAGCCCAAGACCGGCTCAGACCCCAGGGACACTGAGGCAAGTCAGATGTGGTAGAATACTGCATCAGGACGACCCTGAGACCACCCGACCGAGAGCCAGGCCCAGCCCCGCTCCAGGCCACTCCTAGGCCCTGGCCACACCAGCACCATCCTGGGCTGGCCAGGCCAGTCCTCACCACGCGCCCGTCAGGCCCTCAGGGTCTGCCCCACAGAACTTCACTGTCCTGCGTGGGGAACCACACAGGCCCTCAGTGTGAGGTGCACCTCTGGGCTCCCTGCCCCACACCAGGGCCAGACCAGACCAGCTCCTGTGACTCGGTTTCCCAGAGGGGAGCCAAGTCTTGGGCCCAGAGGAGGCTGCCCTGAATGTTATCTCCCCTGCGCTGCCTCAGGCCGTGGGGGGCTCTCTGTGGTAATCCCTTCCGCCTGAACCTTTAATTATAGCTTTGGGTCCCAGCTGGGGATAAGGCCTGCAGCAGAGATCAGTCCTGAGTCACGGATAAGACTCACCCCCCAGGGCTGGCGCAGAGAGGGCCTCCACCCTTGGGGGGGGAGGGGTGGCAGTCGGTAGCCTACTGCACCCCAAGGCCTCATTTCCAGGCTTCCAAATGAGCCCTGGCCAGCCCAGCCCTGGACGTGAGGCCTGCAGAATGCAGGCCCCCGGCCTGAGACCCCAGTGCCACCCCTGCCCCCTTCTAGGCCATGGGGCTCCTGCGGCATCAAGCTCCAGCCTCAGCCCCGCTGGGTCTTCATCCCCAGAACCACGTGATCAGGCTGAGGTCCACACACATCCCTGCTGCCCCCACCCGACTCTGAGGCTGCCCCACCACCCCCAGGCCAGCCGGCCCCACACAGGGCACAGCCCGTGTGCTGGACTGTCCTCTACTGGGTCTCCTTCTAGGAGGCCAGGAGGGCCCAGGGAAAGGGATGGTGGTCAAGTGGGGGGTCACACTGAACCAGGAAGGAAAGGTCCCAAGGGGCTAGGTAGGGGGAGTGCCCTCTGTGACCGCCAGAGAAACTGAGGCTTGGAGAGGCGCAGGGCCCAGGGCTCGGGCGCCAAGCCTGTTCTGGGCAGTCTGGGACGGCATGGGCAGCCGTGGCCAGGGCTCAGGTGGACAGAGAGGCCTGGTGCTGGGTCCTCCCTCAGCCTTCCTCCTCCAACACACGCAGTCAGCTCCCGTTTCCTCCTGCCGGTGCCTACCCACGGTGGGAGCCCCGGCAGCCGCCCACAGGCCACCTGAGATGGACACTGTGGGCAGGTGGCGCCACCTGGTGTCCATACTGGGGACCATAGGAGCTGCTGCAGCAGCCAGCGGCAGCCCAGACGCCCACCCTGCTCCCCTAAACAGCAGTTCCTCCCAGGGCTGCCGGACAGCAGCACAGTGGGCACCGCCCAGGAGCGGCCAGGAGCTCGGCCTCTGCGCCAGGGCCGTCACAGGAGGCCGTGCCCCTCCTCACCCCCGCAGGCGGCCACATCCAGGGAAATTGGTTCCTTTCTTTTCTCCAAAAACGCACCTCAACGAGGGCCATGTTAGGGTTAGCAGGATTCACTGAAATGAGGCCCAAGGGCAGCGGCCAGGAGGCGGGAACTGTCCCTTTCCACCCCGCGCTGGCCTCGGGCTTGTGTCCCCTCCCATGCAGAGTCCGCCCGCCCTCAGGTTTGCTGGTGTGGGGGTTCGTTTCACCCGGGACATGCGCCCAGATATTTGTTCAGGCATTATTCTGTGACAGTGACTCGACGAGGTGCTTGGGGTAGGGACGGCCCTGCGGTGTGGGTGGCCCCTGCTGCCCACCCGGGGCCCCGGGCCAGGAAGACCCCCATGCAGCCACACTGGGGGTTTATGGCCTCCTCGAGGGCGCAGCGTCCTCATGAAAACTGTTTAGAATTCACCTCCCTGAGGGCACAGGGGTCAGTCTTAGCCCTATGAAGCTGTCAGCAGCCCCTGAGGCACGAGTTCAGTCCCCGGCCAGGGAGTGACCCACATGGCGCAGAAGACCCTCTGTCTCCCAGCTGCTCCCCTCAGCAGTGTGTTTCAGTGCATCGCCTGCTCTGCTCCCCACTCTGTCGCTGGTGAGTCCTCTCACCCCTGCACCTCTGGCCTGTACCCCAGTTCTTGTATGTATAAATAAATAAATCTTTAAAAAAACACTATTTAGAACTATTTTGCAAGGCAAATTTTCCTCCCATTTATTATTATTTATTATTTTCACCATTACTTATTTACCCACTAATTATTACTTGTAAAATCATTCACATGAGGGCCTCCCCAGTGGCACAGCAGTTGAGCACAGGGTTGCGAAGCTGCCCGCAGCCTCTGTAGCGCCGGTTCGATCCCCGGCCGCCAGAAAAGGGTCCCACATGGTACGCAGACCCCTCCTGCCGCGCGCTGCTCCCCTCAGCAGTGTACTTCATCTTTCTGCCTGTTCTGCTCCCCGCTCTGGCTCTGGTGAATCCTCTCACCCTCCCGCGCTTCTGACTGTACCCAGTGCTTGTATAAATAAATCTTTAAAAAAAAAAAATCATTCACATCAGTGTGGCCACACGGATACTTGTCTTAGAGGTGGATTATAATAGCTACTGGATTATTTTTCTACTCAGATTTTTTGTCAGCAGTGTATTTCGGTCTGTCTGTCTGTTCTGTTTCCCACTCTGTCTCTGGTGAATCCTCTCACCGCCTTCCCACCCCTGGTACCCCAGTTCTTGTATGCATAGATAAATAAATCTTTTAAAAAAAAAAAAGAATCCCTTCCCGCCACGTCCCAGAGGGTTGGCTCCCCTGGGCTGCCTGGGTCTCAGTGGTCACTGGGCATACCGGGTCAGCCAGGCACTCCCAGGCGCTGCTGTCCAGAGCGGGGCACACGGAGCACCCCTAGGCACACTTCCAGGTGCTGCTGCCCAACGGTCCCGGACAGACGTGGGTGGCCAGGGAGTCTGACCACAGGCACAGGGCACGGAAACCCCAAGGG